CGGCATCGGAAAAGTGAAATCTGTAATTCCGAAGAAGAGGAAGTTAGTGAAGACGATGATGTACCACTGCATTAAGGACTTCCTCAAATCGCTCTTCCGCCGCCCGCCGAAAACCCACCGCCGCCGCCCCAAACCCATTATCCATGACTAGTAAAAATGTCGGATTTTTATCATGATCTTCTTATTGTTCATGTTTTTTTTTTCTGGATGGGTCAGTGTGTCCTCCTCTGCTTTCTCTGTCATAAAACAGAGGATTTTAATCTTGGCTTGTTGTTCAAATATTACGAACATGTAGTCTAATCCACTTGTGTTTTGTTCATATTTCTTTGTCGTTTCGAAATTCTCTTGGTCGTGTTTTTTAATAAAAGAACTCCCTGATTCCGGTTGGTATTGGCCGTTGTTCAAATGAATCCAAAACAGAGACTCCGAAGATCCGCCGGGGAAGAACGTTCTCGCCGGCGCCGCCTGACACCCATTTTTCTTCTGAATTAAAATTTTAATTAAATAATAGATATACGGATTTGGCACTAAATTTTGGTCTTTTTGTTCCTTTTTGTAGTAAAAGATTCCATTCAATATAATAATCATTACAAAATTTTCTTTTATGAATTCTGTTCACATTTAGATGGAACTAAGATAAATGTCGCATAAATTAAATTTTAATTCACCTCTCCAAATATAAAAATCTAACTAATAGATATTGTAAATGAGAGTTATAAAGTTTTTAGTCCCGTTCATAAAGATAGTAGTAAATGAGTAACAGATATTTTTTCTCCATTAGATAAATGGGGTTAGGGACGAAATTATATTCCCTCGCTCCCCCACTTAATATAAATATATTTTCAATACATAGTAATATATAGATATACTTTTTTGTGTTAATTTTGATTCACTCTGTCTCATCCATATAATAAAAGTCACCCGCTCAAATTAATTAATAATAATTAGAGATAGTCATTTTGAGCCGTCCAAACCGAGAAGGGAGTAGGAATTTTTTTTTTTTCGTCTCTCGTCAAATATATATTGAATGGGTCAATCAAATGTGTAACGAATAAAAGAAGAGATTGAAAAAAGTGGGCAGCGTTTTCTTAATCAACAAGACATGACTTGATGTAACTATTAAGTCTCAACGACTAGCTTGTCCCACCAATTTGACCTTTTTAATACATAGTACCATTTTTATGACCTCGAATAATATGAGTCTATCTATTTCCTTTAGACTACTTTATAAATATTAATAAACCTCGAGTTTTATAGATTTTTATTGTTTTGATAGTGTAGCGATTACTTTATTTATATTATATATAAACAAACATAAAAAATAAAAAAAATTAAAAAACGATCATTATTATGTAAAAATTGTAGGATAAACCAGTTAAATTTTTTTTTTTTTTTTTTTTACATAATGGGTGCAAAAAAAAAAAAAAATTACTTTTTTATAGGATTGGAAGGTAGTAGGACAAACATTGATATTGCACACTTAAAGGGGACCAATGGCGTACAAAAACATCATAAATCAAACACAACAATCATTAAATTCCACTCCATTGTTTCTTTTCTATTTTTGGTTTCATGTTGAATTATTATTGGCATAACTTTCTTTTTAAAAGTAATTTTCTTTGGGATTTAAATGAACTTTTTTTCAATAATTAGTTAATTAGTTCATACAAACCTCCAATTATTAATGAAAACGAACGGTAAATTCGTTGACAATATGCCTATGTTAGTTCAAATCCAGCTTGATCCAATAATTATGATATAACCCATTTGCGATTAGACAAAAAAAATATTCGATGTTTAGGGTCCAATTAAAGTTAAAATTAAACATGAATAGGAATAGGAATAATAAAAGGTAATGACAAAAATGTTTTGGTCGTTTGTGTTTCCTACGATTGAGTGGGCCCCTACACAGACCAAAGTCATTTAATTTTTTATTTTTATGGATTTATCCATTTTAATAATGGTTTAGTTATTATTAATTATAACTTAGGATCAAATTTAATAATAATAATGAGTGGATCTTTATAAGAAAATCTGATAAATTAAAAGATATTATTATATTAATTTAATTAATTTCTGATTTAAGAAATAGATGTTTTATTTATATATTTTTAAAAAATAAAAGAGGTTTTGAATAAATAAATAAAACTCCAAAAAGAAAAAAAGGAATGAATAAATAAATAAATAAGGTGGGGATTATCGCCTTAAAATCAAAGCTGCTCAAAACTTTTAATTATTCCTAATGGTGACGTCAGACCACATGACGTCACAAGCGGCTGGGTTTATTTTAATTTTCTATTAGTAATTCAAATGTTATCCCTCATTTAATTATTTATGGTATTTATTTTTATTTTGAAAGTTAATTTTGGACTGGAAAAGAAAAATAAAAGAAAAATTAAATATTTATTATTATTATTTACGCAGATGATTTTTGAAGTTAGGGACGATATTAATGTCTAGTTATAAAAAATATATAATAATTAATTAATCAGGCAACGGTTCGGTTCGGGTCTTGATGGCCCATTAAGAGTGGGCTCGGGATAACACTCGTCAATTTTGGTTCCTGAAGAAAATGGGCCTGGGCCCAAGTTAGAGCTTCCATTGGACCCTTGGCTTATTTTGGGTTGGGCCGAATGGTGACATTTTTAACTTGGTGAAATAAATTTAAATTTGTAATTAAAATAAATAAATAAAGTGTTCAACCGTCAAAGACACGTTGATTGTGGGCCCCTGTTTCGTCCTTGAATTCAGGGCACAAATTTATTTATTTATTTATAAAGAAACCAAGAAAAAATGGGTTTGGATCGAATACGGACAATCCCACGTGAAAGATGGTTGACGGCTGCCGTTTGACGACAGTGATTGGTTACCTCATTTTCGAATGATTTGTTATTATTTTATTTTCCAACAAAGATACTGTCCGTACATCTCCCATAAATGGCGGGAATTTTGTCATGTCGGTAGTCAACGTACGACATTTACTTTTAGTTTTCTATTCCATTTCGACTACTTTTTTAAACATTATTTATTTATTATTATTATTTTAACAAATAACAATTTTTATGTGTGAAATTGGTGGCTCTACTGATCTTACATTAAAAGAGGTTAATTACTTTGGTTCATGCTTTTTAATTTTAGGTTTTGGAGGGAAATAATGTTTTTTTTTATTTACCTATTTATTTCCAATTATTCAAGAAAAACAAAATAAATTTATTCAGTATAAAATTTAAGGCTGAAAGAGCTATCTCAATTGTAATCAATCAAGGTTGCTCGTGAATATGAATATTATGAGTATAGACTCTCTATAATAAATGTGTAAAAACACTAATCATAAAAATCCTAATGGTATAATACTTTCGTGAGCTTAGAAAGACTTAATAATTAAAACTTAGAAATAACGTTTTTTTCCCCCAATTTTCGAGTAACAAACATACATGAGTTTTAAGAAAAAAAAAAAAAAATACAATAGATGAAGAGAAGGGGAGATTGAGAAATCAACCCATGATTCAATATACTGATTGACTTTTAAGATCGGCTGTGTGAAGATAGTCAGAGCCACTCGGCATTTCTCTCCGTTCGACCGCCTACTTGGCGACGGCGAAGGAGGTCTTCCTCCTTCCTCAAGCTCTTTTGCCGAACTGGCGACGGAGGTGAAGGCCGGGCTCTCTTTAGGGTTTTTGATCTCGACACCCTTTGGGGAGACGGTTGCTGTGGAAAATGGCGGATCACCGGGGAAACGGGCTTCATGGGCGACGAAAAGGGGTTAGGTTTAAGGGAATTGACGCGAAGGAGGGGAGAGTTATGCTTATAAGACGACCCCAAGTAGTCATCGGAGAAAATTAGGGAACGTGAAGTTGAAGGTGAGAAAGAGGGGATTGTTGTAGTTGAAGAAGAGATGGAAGAAGGGGAAGGAGGATAAGGAGAGATTTTGTTATTAAGAGAGAGAGGAGGAGGTGCTGCTGATGTTAATGGAGGCGGTTGAGGAATGACAGCGAGCTTGTGTCGGACAAGGTTGTTGAGATCAAAACGAGGTTGTCGTTTGATGGTCTTGGGTTTGCATTTGCTAATGCAACATCCCATTTTGATTTGTGGGTTGTCTTCAAATTGCACCAAAATGGGAAGGATGAATGTTTGAACATATAAAGGGAAAGTTGTTGGAGAAGTGGAAGCTTTATTTTGTTTAATGTTCTTTCCTCTCTCTTCTCTTTTTTCTTTTACTTGTCGCCAAGTTTTTTGAATTTGGTTCCCTCTCAAATGAAAGCTTTGGTTGATCATTAGGGAGGAGAAATGGAACTTAAATTTGAATTTGTTGCTTGTAATAGTCCATAATCCAAGTTCATCGTTACTTGATATTGTTCGTTTTGGTTCATTACGTATCATCATCAGCCTACGGTTTTAAAATGCGTCTACTATGGAAAGGGTCTAACCCTACTTCGACTAGTGTCTTGCACTGTCCGATGAATAACTCTGATACCATTTGAAACAACTCAAACCCACCGCTAGTAGACATTGTCTATTTTGGCCCATATTATTGTTAGCCTCACAATTTTAAAATGTAGTACAAGGGTGAAGTTTTTACACTTTTGTAAAGAATGTTTCGTTCTCTTTTCTAATTGATGTTGGATTTCACCATCTACTTCCTTGGGAGCCCAATGTCCTTGCTGGTACATTGCTCGGTGTCTAACTCTAATACCATTTGTAACAACCCAAGTCCACCGTTAGTAGATAATGTCCACTTTGGCCCGTTACATATCGCCGTCAGCCTCACAACTTAAAACACATCTACTATGAAAATGGTCTCTAACCTTATTCCAACCAATGCCTCGTACCGTTCGATAGTTAACTCTAATACCATTTGTAACAGCTCAACCCACCGCTAGTAGAAATTGTTCACTTTGACCGATTACGTAGTGTCATCAATTTTACGATTTTAAAATGCATATACTAAAGAAAGAGTTTCACACTTTTATAAGGAATACTTTATTTATCTTCCCAACTGATCACGACATTTATCTTAACCATATTTACAAGCTTTATTTTGTTCTACTGAAAACTGCTGGACAAAATTAAGACACGAGATCTAAATTAAGAAAGGAAAAAGTGACTACTTCAAGTGCACTAAATAAAAGCATTTCTGATAAGATCATCTACCATGTTCGACATGTGGCAATTCCAGCTTTATGCTATCATCCACAGCGCCCATACTTCCACTCTCAACAAATGGGCTCGACTCTTGTGCGGCGGATAACCTAACATTGGCCCATGAATGCTCACCCTTCGTTGCTCGCAGCGCCTCCAACTCCATAGCCACTTCCTTCATGTCCGGCCTCTCGTCCCCTTTGATTCTCACACACTCTTTCGCTAGCTTAGCCACTTCTTTTATTTGCTCAAAGTTGGCCTCACTCACCATTCCCTTATCCACCACTTCTTCAAAACGGTCTTCTTTCATTGCACAAAGGACATACATGGCTAGATTTCGATCTTCTTCCGGCCCATCAAACCTCACCGCTTTCTTCCCCGTTATAAGCTCCAGAAGCACAATTCCAAAGCTATACACATCACTCTTCTCAGTTAACTCGCTCGTCAATAAGTACTCAGGGTCTAAGTACCCGAGAGTCCCTTGCACGAGCGTAGTTAGCTGAGTTTGATCCATAGGAACCAACTTGGAAGCACCAAAATCAGACACCTTTGCAGTGTAATTATCGTCTAAAAGTACGTTGGTGGTCTTGATATCTCTATGGATGATGGGAATAGAAGCCGAAGAATGCAAATACGAAATGACACCGGCTGTTTCCGAAGCGATTCTCAAGCGAGCTTCCCAAGAAAGAGGGACGCGTTTGGTAGTGTCATGGATGTGATCGAAGAGGGTGCCGTTGGTGACGAACTCGTACACCAACAATGGGACTTGGGTCTCTAAACAGCACCCTAAGAGCTTGACCACGTTTCGATGGTTGATTTGGGAAAGAACAACGACTTCATTGATGAATTGGGATGTTTGGGATTCGTCCATGAATTTTGATTTCTTGATTGCAACGGTGAGTCCATCGTCCAAGACACCTTTGTAAACGGTACCGTAGCCACCTTTGCCAGCAATGGTGTCTTTGGCGTAGTTGTTGGTGGCCTTCTCCAACTCTTCTTGGCTGAAGATTCTTACGATGTCTTTAGGTGAATTGCATTGAGAAAGCTGTCGTTGAAGCACAAAGCCTCCGTTTTTGTGGAAAAAACGCTGTTTTTGTTTGATGAACTTCAACTTTTTATAGCATAAGTATATGGTTGTGATGGCAATTAGTAGAACTACGAGGCCTAACCCAATTCCTGCATTTTAATTGTATTGTTGTTTAGTATATTATAGGGAAAAACATGGGTGAAGAACATATAAAAACTCACCAATGATGATAGGAATGGAAGAGGTGGAATTTTTGGTGCAACCTTCTCCGCCTTTTCTTCCATCTCCATGGAAGTTCTTAGGACAACGACAGGTATAGTTTCCTTCAGTGTTAATACACTTGGCCTTGTGCATACAGTCATTCAGCCATCCATACTTGCATTCATTCACATCTAAAAAGGGTTCCAAATTGAGCAGTTAGGTTACAAATCCTAATAAAACTTATTTTAAAATCATTAACGGCTAAATGTATAACAGTCTAAGCCTATCACTAATAGATATTGTCCGTTTTAGTCCGTTACATATGACTGTCAGCCTCACGGTTTTAAAATACATCTACTAGGAAGAGGTTTCCACGCCCTTGTAAGGAATGATTTGTTTTATTCTTCAACTGATATGGGATCTCACAATCCACACTCTTACAAGAAATGTTTCGTTCCCCTTGTGGATCTCACAATTCACCCTCTTGGGGGCCAGCGTCCTCGCTCGCTGGCACACCGTCTAACCATTTGTAACAGCCTAAGCCCACCTCTAGCAAATATTGTCCATTTTGACCTGTTATGTATTGTCGTCAGTCTCACGGTTTTAAAACGTGTCTACTAGGGAGAGGTTTCCACAACCTTACAAGAAATGATTCGTTCTCCTCTCCAACCGACGTGGGATCTCATAATCTACCTCCTTGGAGGCCAACGTCCTTGTTCGCACACTATCTGGTGTCTGGCCCTGATACCATTTGTAACAGCCAAAACCCACCAATATTGTCCGTTTTGGCCCGTTACGTATCGCCGTCAGTCTCACGGTTTTAAAATGCGTTTGCTAGGGAGAGGTTTCCACACCCTTATAAGGAATGCTTCATTCCCCTTTCCAACCGATGTGAGGTCTCGCTAGCACACCGTCCGGTGTCTAGCTCTGATACAATTTGTAACAGCCCATGCCCAAACCCACCGTTAACAGATATTATCCGTTTTAGCCCGTTACGTATTACCGTCAGCCTCACAGTTTTAAAACGGGTTAACTAGAGAGAGATTTCCACACCCTTACCAGGAATGCTTATTTCTTCTCTCCAACCAATTTAAGATCTCACATAACTCGAAAGATAAATAAGGCGTTATCTTGGCATCCGTGACGGAGATATGGATTCCCCTCGTAACCATCCAAGCATTGGCAACCATATTGAGTTCCATTAAAGATACTAATCCTTGCGGTGTTTGATCCACATTCAAACTTTAATTCGTTTCTAATGCCCCAACTAAGCACAACCACAACTTTCTCGTCTTCAAACTTATCAATATAACTTGACAAAAACCGGAACCTCTCAGCTTCAATTATAAAAGCATACCCACAGGGACTCAATTTCGGTATTTCAGTGTAATTCAACAACTCACCCACCGCCAATCTCAAATTGGTTAACCCTTTTGGAATCTCCAACTGACAGCACCCACTCCCAGAACACGACCCATCAGCTACACTACTTTTCTTTGTACACATCGAAATACACCCACTTTCAAAGTCACCCCCTAAGTAATCCCCCAAGATTAACCCAACATGATTGCACCCAATGGTAATGAACTTATTTTTGGAACGAGAAAGTGGGTACATGTCCGGCACAGAAAGATACGAATCGTTCATATCTAAATAACTACCTCCGTCGCTATAACAATTTCGCACTATCGGCTGCAACACGTGAAGCTCACCGTTGGTAAATATATTCATAACACTAATATTGGTATGCATTAGAAACGCCTTTGGAGGTCCGTTGCGATCGGTTTTGTCGCAAGCGATCGAGAAATTTTGATTGAGATAGCACCCTTCTTTGATGCCGAATGGATATGGAATGTGCACGTCGCCACACCGTTCTTCACACCCGGGTAAGGCTTGAGATGCTGCCACGGCCAAGGGTGTTGATAATATGGCTATGTTCATCATCACCAAGAATGCCATGATGGGTTTCATCTTCATCACCATGAGAGGACAAATGGGTGTTGTTGGTGTGTATAAATTGTAAAGATGTGAAAGAGTTCATTGCAGAAAGTGGGTGTGTGGGCATTCCACTAAGCATGTGGTGAAGCGTGTAATGCATGGAAAAGGGTGTCGTAAAAAGTAAGTAATAGACAGTACTTAATGGCTACAAATGGTGTGCAAGTAACCATATTGAGATTAACAAAGAGTTGAGTGTTATGAAATTTGAGAAAATGATGTTTTTCATTGTTTGAATCTTTTAATGTGTTTTGTGGGAGGTCTGTATGTGTTCTTTTTCTTTCTTGAGGGTATAATGGAATTGAGACTATATTAATCATATTGATTTAGTTGGGTAAATTCCCATTTTTGAATTTTTCTTTGGTATTTTTGGCTTGTATTTGAAGTTTTCACTGAGTATGGTTGAGAATTATTGTGAGGAGTAGTTCTATATGAATTAATTAAGAGAAAGATCATGAATTTATACGTAAATAACATCATCATCTCTCTTAGTACGAGATATTTTGAAAATCGTTCTAAGCTTCATCACGATGATCGCCAAATTTTAAGAACAAAAGACAAAGCAATGTTTTTTTTTTCTTTTGTGGGTCCTATTTGATGAGGACATTAAAGTCAATTTAGGTGTGCTACTTTAAAAATGTTTTTTTTTTAAATAATTTGAGGCACGATATGAATCACATAGCTTTGGTTTCCACAGAAAGAAAAAAAGTTTGAGGCATGATAATGAGTAAGAAACTATATTGGATGAAGGGTATAGATTAGAGATATGTTTACGGTTTTTCTATCTTACGATATCTATTTGTGTGAAAAATTGTTGATCACATTATGACGAAATGACCCGAAGGAAAGTCTTGTAGGGGTGTAGAGGAAGTTATGATATCTATTTTCTATCTTTCGAAAGCTCCTCCACCTTAATCGGTAGCCTGCCAACACTTGAAAAAGAAAGAGGAAAGGAGAGAGTATAAAATTACTCAGTAAGCAACCTACTTGTAGGCTATCATCGCATCCTTAACCTGGTAAGTATCACGTGCTTTACTTTGGGCTCTAGGAAGTTCGGGCCTAGGTTCCAATAGTATATGAGCAATTGGGTACCCCAACGTTCCAAGCGGGTCTTTGAACTGAAGTGTACCCCTAGGGTTTTGTACCAGTTTTTCAATCTTTCTTTTCTACAACTTCGGTTGCTTGCCTTGCTTATGTAGTGAATGATCAATGTCCTAAGTTGAGGCGCGACCTCATAAGTTGCGAGACAGTATGACTGGATCTGAATCTGAATAAAAAGTGGAACATCATCCATGGGGGTTAGTTGATGAACTCTCCCACGAGACCATAAAGTCGCTATAGTTTGGGGGAAGCGATTCTCCATGTGTCGGTCAGCTACTAGGTCAACCTACGTGGTCCCCCGCTCCCCCGCTCAAGGATGGGTTTACAGCACAAGGGTCATGTTCAAGAGACCCCTGGTCATTTCCACTGGGTTGGGCACATGTCCCGCTACCCTAACCGGCGACGCCTAGCTCCACGGTATAGAAATCGGAGTAGAGTCTCAAAAGTATGGTACCAGAGCGAAAAATGTAGTGGAAAACCTGGTGACACTTTTCACATTGTTATAGCCTGATGAGCTACTTTGGTCATTTTTTTGTCATTGTAGAGACCTACGAGGTTCTTAGGGGCTTTTAGGTAGTTTAAATCTCATCTCTCGTTTCCAGGACATTCGAGGTTAGCTCCTCGGGCCAAACCATTCTCTGAGTGCACATAGGTCTAAACCTCTGATCGCTCACGATCCTGGGGTGCAAGGTCTGCTGGAAACGTATTGATCTGGGTCAACATGTAAACTGCACTAGCTGTAGTGCTCTAATCTCAGCTATGCTCCCTCGTGCACGCTTTGCTAGGGAGATTTTCTTATCGATCACCTAAGCAGGTAAACCATAATTTAAACTTTGCCTAGGTGATATTTGGGAGTTGAAGAGGTCTATTGGGTCTTAGGGTGGTTAGGTGGCGTAACGCGCTTCTAACTCTAGGCTGTTCTTTTTTAACTCCTCGAGTCTTTCTTGGTCTGGGAGCACTAGAGTCTAAACTCTCTGACCGCCGTTCACGACCCTAAAGTGCTCAGTCTAATAAATGTTTCATGACCTAGGTCATCGTCTAGCTAACCTAACTCTCACATCCTAGCTTTGTGTAGATAAACACGCTCTATAGGGAGAACACACAATCAAACATCTAAAGCTAACACATACTATATCATGCACACATCAAGCAAACAAGTTCAACGGGGAGATAACATCCATGAGTCACTCGTTGCACTGACTCTGGGCTGTTCTTTTTTAACTCCTCGAGTCTTTCTTGGTCTGGGAGCACTAGAGTCTAAACCCTCTGACCGCCGTTCACGACCCTAAAGTGCTCAGTCTAATAAATGTTTCATGACCTAGGTCATCGTCTAGCTAACCTAACTCTCACATCCTAGCTTTGTATAGATAAACACACTCTATAGGGAGAACACACAATCAAACATCTAAAGCTAACACATACTATATCATGCACACATCAAGCAAACAAGTTCAACGGGGAGATAACATCCATCAGTCACTCGTTGCACGGATCACAATAGCTCATCCTCCTTTCTAACACAGCTAAAAGCATATAAAACATCATTTTAACACACCTAGGCCCACTGCTAGCAGATATTATTCTCTTTGGACTTTCTCTTTCAGACTTCCCCTCAAAGCTTTAAAACTCGTCACTAGGGAAAGGTTTCCACACCTTTATAAAGGGTGTTTCGTTCTCCTCCCAAACCAATGTGGGATATCACAGTAACAACCCAAGCCCACTGCTAGCAGATATTGTCCACTTAGGCCTGTTACAATCACCGTCAGCCTCAAAATTTTAAAACTCATCTACTATGAAAAGACTCTAACCCTTCTCCAACCAGTGCCTCACGCCATCCAATGACTAGCTCTAATACCATTTGTAGCAGCATAACTCACCATTAGTAGATATTGTCCGTTTTAACCCATTACATATCGTCATTAACATCACAATTTTAAAACGCGTTTACGAGAGAGTGGTTTTCACACTATTATAAAAGGAATACTTTAAGATTTTCACACTATTACAAAAGGAATACTTTCACTCCTCTTTCCAACCAAACACACATGATATTTACAGCTTTATTTTGTTCTACTGAAAATTGCTGAACAAGATTAAGACACGAGTTCTAAATTAAGAAAGGAAAAAGTGACTACTTCAACTGCATTAAATAAAAACATTTATGATAAGATCATCTACCATGTTCGACATGTGGCAATTCCAGCTTTATGCTATCATCCACAGCGCCCATACTTCCACCCTCAACAAATGGGCTCGACTCTTGTGCGGCGGATAACCTAACATTGGCCCATGAATGCTCACCCTTCGTTGCTCGCAGCGCCTCCAACTCCATAGCCACTTCCTTCATGCTCGGCCTCTCCTCCCCTTTGATTCTTACACACTCTCTTGCTAGCTTAGCCGCTTCCTTTATTTGCTCCATGTTTGCCTCACTCACCATTCCCTTCTCCACCACTTCTTCAAAACGGTCTTCTTTTATTGCACAAAGGACATACATGGCTAGGTTTCGATCTTCTTCCGGCCCATCAAACCTCACCGCTTTCTTTCCCGTTATAAGTTCCAGAAGCACAATTCCAAAGCTATACACATCACTCTTCTCAGTTAACTCGCTCGTCAATAAATACTCAGGGTCTAAGTACCCAAGAGTCCCTTGCACGAGCGTGGTTAGCTGAGTGTGATCCTTAGGAACCAACTTGGAAGCACCAAAATCAGAAACCTTTGCAGTGTAATTATCGTCTAAAAGTACGTTGGTGGTCTTGATATCTCTATGGATGATGGGAATAGAAGCTGAAGAATGCAAATACGAAATGACACCAGCTGTTTCCGAAGCGATTCTCAACCGAGCTTCCCAAGAAAGAGGGACGTGTTTGGTAGTGTCATGGATATGATCGAAGAGGGTGCCGTTGGTGACGAACTCGTACACCAACAATGGGACTTGGGTCTCTAAACAGCACCCTAAGAGCTTGACCACGTTTCGATGGTTGATTTGGGAAAGAACAACGACTTCATTGATGAATTGGGATGTTTGGGATTCGTCCATGAATTTTGATTTCTTGATTGCAACGGTGAGTCCATCGTCCAAGACACCTTTGTAAACGGTACCGTAGCCACCTTTGCCAGCAATGGTGTCTTTGGCGTAGTTGTTGGTGGCCTTCTCCAACTCTTCTTGGCTGAAGATTCTTACGATGTCTTTAGGTGAATTGCATTGAGAAAGCTGTCGTTGAAGCACAAAGCCTCCGTTTTTGTGGAAAAAGCGCTGTTTTTGTTTGATGAACTTCAACTTTTTGTAGCATAAGTATATGGTTGTGGTGGCAATTAGTAGAACTGCGAGGCCTAACCCAATTCCTGCATTTTATTTGTATTGTTGTTTAGTATATTATAGTGAAAAACATGGGTGAAGAACAACATGGATGAAGAACATATAAAAACTCACCAATGATGATAGGAATGGAAGAGGTGGAATTTTTGGTGCAACCTTTTCCGCCTTTTCTTCCATCTCCATGGAAGTTCTTGGGACAATGACAGGTATAGTTTCCTTCGGTGTTAGAACACTTGTTCTTGTGCTCACAGTCATTCAGCCATGGATACGTGCATTCATCCACATCTAAAAAGGGTTCAAATAATCCTAATAAAACTTATTTTAAAATCATCCATAAATTGCCTAACCAGATATTGTCTGTTTTGGCTCATTACGACGAGTTTGCTACGGAGAGGTTTCCACAACCTTATAGGGAATGTTTTGTTCCCCTCTACAACCGATGTGGGATCTCGTAATCCACTTGCTTAGAGGCTAGCTTTTTTATTGGCATTCCGTTTGGTGTTTAGCTTTGATACTATATGTAACAGCCCAAGCCTATTGATATTGTCGGTTTTGACCCATTAGACGTATCGCCGTTAGTCTCACGGTTTTAAAACGTGTGTGCTGGAGAGAGGTTTCTACAACCTTATAAGAAATGTTTTGTTCCACTCTCCAACCGATGTGGAATCTCACAATCCACCCCCTTGGGGGCCAGCGTCCTCGCTGGTACACTGTCTGATGTCTAATGCTAATACAATTTGTAACCGCCCAAGTCCACTGATATTGTCCGTTTTGGTCCGTTACGTATAGCTGTCAGCCTAATGGTTTTAACAAGCGTTTGCTAGGG